TCACACCGTGATTCCATTAAAGAATAATTTTTTTAAAAGGATGCATATATTTATGAGACACAATGTATCTTTATCATATAATGGAGGGATATATTTGATATGCCAAACACCCTAACAAGAAGTCTCACAATGGAGACGTTACTGGGCCTGCTCGAGCAAATATATTATATAATATTAGCTCGAGCAAATATATTATATAATATTAGTATGTAATGGGCTGGAGCGATAGCACAGCAGGTAGGGCGTTTGCCTTGCACGCGGCCAACATGGCCGACCCGAGTTCGATTCCTCATACTCGATATGCCAAACACAGTAACAAGAAGTCTCACAATTTGTTGTGAGATGTTACTGATGCCCACTTGAGCAAAGCAATAAACAACTGGAGGACAGTGCTACAGTGCTAGTATGTAATATTTTATATATATATTTGGAGCTAACATTAACTGATCTAAGTCATCAGGCTTGCTAACAGACCAATTTCATCCTTAAGACTTCCAGGTTAAACAGCTTTCTCAGAGGTTTACTTTTGTTTCTTTCTTTTTTTTTTTTTCATTTGTTTTTCTTTTAGGCCACATCTGGTAGTGAGGCTTTGGCCAGCAATGCCTGTGGGGAATCAAGTCAGAGCATCTGCTTAAAGAACCTACTCTGTGCTCAAAATAAAGTAGTGTGGGAGGAGGGTGCTCAGTGATAGTAAAGGCAGGTTTGAACCCTGAGCTTCTGAGTCAGCTGAGCTTCTCCAGGAGGGATCCCTACGCAGAGCCAGGAGTGAGCCCAGGGCACCACTGGGTGCCGCCCCCAGACAAAACATAAATAAAGGGAGGAAGCACAGACATCCAGCCAGTGACTTCCTTGAATGCCAGAGTGATGGTATAGCAGGGTAGGGCATTTGCCTTGTACGCAGCGGACCCAGGTTCGATCCCCAGCATCCCATATGTTCCCCCGAACACTGCCAGGAATAATTCCTGAGAGCAGAGCCAGGAGTAACCCCTGAGCTGAGCACCGCCAGGTGTAACCCAAAAAGCCAGAGAGAGAGACAGAGACAGAGAAGTGTCTAAAACAATTCTTTTTAATTTTTTTTGTGTGTGGGGGGGGTCACACCCAGCGATGCACAGGGGTTACTCCTGGCTCTGCACTCAGGAGCTATTCCTGGCAGTGCTCAGGGGACCATAAGGGATATTGGGAATCAAACCCAGGTTGGCCAGTGCAAGGCAAACGCCCTACCCACTGTGCTATCTCTCCAGCTCCCAATTCTTTTTAATTTTTTAATCTATTAAAATCACTGTGAGAGATAAAGTTGTTTATGATAAAGTAAGTCAATTCTTTAGGATCTGTTTTCCCTTTTACAAAGGGTCTGGAAGTGAAGGAAATGTTCCATCGACAGAAAATGGATTTATGGGAGTTCCAAAGAAGACCTGAAGCGACAGAACTTCAGGTAGGGCGCTTGTCTTGCATGCAGCTAGTCCAGGGTTCGATCCCCGGCCTCCCATGTGGACCCCAAACACTGCAACAGTGATTCTCAAGCACCGAGTCAGGAGTAACCCCTGAGTGTCGCCGGGCGTTGCCGGGTGTGGTCCCCAAAGGGAGAGCTGAAGGCGACCGCTCACATCCACGGATCTCCCCGGGCAGCGCAATCTTTCCCTGAGTTAGAAGGCGAAGGATGAGGTCCGTGGAATGACCTCAGGTGGCCACTAGGAGGAGCCCGCACGCCAGCATCTTCCTCTTAGCCAAACCCCCGGTAGGCGGGGCCGTTGCCTGGCTTGGAGTTTAAATGCAGATTAAGAGGAGAGCGAATAACGTCACTTTACCAAAGCGACAGAGGGACATGGGTCCCATTCAGGAATAGAAATCAAACGTTTGGGGCTGGAGCGATAGCAGAGGGGAGCAGGTAGGGCGTTTGCCTTGCACGCGCACTGACCCGGGTTCGATTCCCAGCATCCCATATGGTCTCCCAAGCACCGCCAGGAGTAATTCCTGAGTGCAGAGCCAGGAGTAACCCCTGTGCATCGATGGGTGTGAACCCCCCCCCCCAAAAAAAAGAAGAAATCAAATGTTTGTGAGGCCCAGGTTGTCATCGCCAAGGCCCTGCTCATAAGGCTATGCGGAAGAGGAAAAACAAAACAAAACATCCCTTCAACAGAAATTATTAAAGTAGGGAAAGATGACAACAGTAACGAGACAATAAGTGACGAAGAAACCAGCTACCCTGAACAACTGGAGTTGGAGTGACTTCACGTTAGTGCTTTTTTATCCTAGAAATGTAAAAAAAAAAATTTACACTTGTATAACGGGAGGGCCTTTACCTTTTAGCTTACACTTGTATGTATGGAGTATTTTTCCATGCATATAAATGTAAACTTTCCCCATATATGGTCACGGTCATGGTCCTCCCGTTGTTCATTGTTTTGCTCCAGCGGGTCCAGTAACGTCTCCATTTTTTTTTGAGACTTCTTGTTACTGTGTTTGGCATATTGAATATGTCACAGGTAGCTTGCCAGGCTTTGCCTTGTGGGCGAGACACTCTCGGTAGCTTTCTGGGCTCTCTGAGAGGGGCGGAGGAATCGAACCCGGCTCGGCCAGGCTGGCTGCGCACAAGGCAAACCCCCTACCACTGTGCTATCGCTAAAGCCCACATGTGTGTATATATGTGTGTATGCATATGTGTGTGTGCATGGAAAAGACTTTAAGATACATCCAGATGTTGAGAGGAGTTTCTGGAGAAACCCTGATTACGGTCTCATTTCCCCCACCCCACCCCCCTTTTTTTTTCTTTTTTCACCGTGACTATTTTCTAAAATGTCCAGGTTTCACTTATTGCTGACCATAAGTGTCAGTACTTTAGTTAATGGGAGAAAAGTAGGAATGCGTCTCCATAGTCCCTACCAGGCACACGCATGGAGAGGGGAGCAGCCCTGCGGAAAGACGGGTCCTGGGAATAGGCTCGCTGGTGGGGGTCAGCAGGGACAGCCATGAGGAGAGTAAGGGAGAGAGGAGATTAAGGACTCACTTGCGAGGTCAGAGCAGCCATACAGTGGGCAGAACGTTTAGATGCCATCAACCCAGGCTGGATCCCCAATACCACATTTAGTCCCCCAAACTCTGCCAGAAATGACCCCTGAACACTGTTGAAATGTACCCCCTACTTGCCGGAAAAAAAAAACAGAAATATAACTCAACTGTGTTGTTGTGTCTCTGGAATTTCTTCAAATCTAATTAGAGGAGATTTGAGAGATAGTAAGGCAGGAAATGCACTTGCCTTGCAACTGACCCAGGTTTAATCCCCGGCATCCCATATGGTTCCCTGAGCCCCGCCAGGAGTAATTCCTGTGTGCAGAGGCAGGAGTAACCCCTGAGCATCGCCGGGTGTGACCCAAAAAGCCTAAGTAAAAAAAAAAAAATGGGACAAGGAATTGAAGACTTTTCTCCAAAGACGTACAAATGTCCGTCACCACGTTGCAACTTCGTTCTGTATCTTTGTTAGGGAAATAAAAACACAAACTCCGAGGGACCACTTCACACGGTAAGGCAGGCGCCCTCCCGGCTGCCCTATGACTCCGGCCTCACATGAACACTTGCTGAGGATTGTTCCAGCACTGCTTGGAACATCCAGGAAGTGGGAAGTGACCCTGGGTCTAGCTATTGCGGACCAGTTAAGTCGGCACAGAGACGTATGCAGTCACGCGTGGTAGAATCCTGTTCAGTAACGAAGCTCTGGAACCTAACTACAGCTCCTGCACTGTGGCCGGAAGCTGGTCCTTATTCTGTGTAGCCAGAAAGCCAGACGGAGCTAGACAGGGACTGCCAGCTTCCCGGGCAAGGCGGGCATGGACTGTGGTCACGATCACAATCATCCTGTTGTTCATCGATTGCCTCGAGCAGGCACCAGTAACGTCTCCTTCGTCCTAGCCCTGAGATTTTTTTTAAAAAGTGCCATATTCAAGGCTCTTTCAGGGTTAGGAGAATGAGACCCTTCATTGTTACTGGTATTTGTCATATTGGGTACGCCATAGGGAGTTTGCCAGACTCTGCCGTGTGGGCAGGTTACATTCGGTAGCCTGCCAGGTTGTCCAAAGTAAGTAAGACTGTGATAATAAGATGTGGCCGTATGCTTCCGAGAGCTGGTTTTTATAGTCTCTGGGTCTTGGCCGTTGATGGGATTACACGGTGCTTGGGGGTCAGTTGGTGGGTGTGACCCCCCGCCTACTGGAATTTGGAGAATCTGGGTGGAGGATGCTCAGCCCCGATCCGAGCAGGCTTGGAGATCTCAGCCCCGGGACCCGCATGCCTTTGTTCCTCTGCTGGTACCTTCATGTGTGCGGAGAGTGGTCTCAGGATGGTGGTGGCTGGTTCTGGAGGTCTTCGGCTGCTGGAGCCCTGGTCGGGGCGGGGAGGGAAACTCAACCCGCTCCCCTCCAAGGGGCCCCGGCGAGGACAGCCAGGCGCAGGGGCAGGAGACTCTGTGGTTATGGCAGCAATATACCTAAGCGCCTTAAGTCCTGCCCTTTAAGCCTGGTGCAATGAGTCCCCCGCCCCCCGCCCCCATGCCTGTAAGCATTCCATCGTGCTGAACCTCCTCACCCACGGGGCACTCCCCTGGTTCCGGCTTGCTTCCCTGCTTTTCCCGTGGGGCGTGTGTACGAGGGTCACTCCTGCCTGGCCCAGCTCGGGGATTGTGTGTGGTGCCTGGCATTGAGCCAGGGTTGGGTGACCACTTGCAACACAAGTGCTTTAACCTTATACCGTGTCTTGGCCCCCAGTGCTCTTTCTTAGAAGGGGTGAGGGACTTCCCCATACCTCCAAATCTCCTGTACTGATGGGGAGGGGCGGGGGGAGGAGCAGAAAAATCCAGCACTTTGGGAAATATATGCAAAATACAAAGAGCCAGTGTCCCACGCTGCTCCAGATAAGCTCGGTGGTTTGGGGGAACTTAAATACTTAAAAGAGGAACCCTTGCAGATCGGGAAAGAAAATAAAACCAATGAGATTTTCAGGAAAATTAATTTTATTATTCCAATGCAAATCCTTTTCCCAGATTTATTTCCCAATTTTAGATTCAAAACAGAAAAGAATGGAAACTCAATCTTTAAAATCTGGTCACCGCCAAAGAACGGAGTAAGAATATATGTTAGTAGGATTTCAAATACAATGCACAAAATTTTTTTTTCTCTCTAAAGCACTTTTTTTTTTAAATGGCAGAGACCAACCTAAAAACCTACTTGCTTAAAACATTCATGTTTTAAAAGACACCGCTTGGCTTGATTTTGGCTATAACAAGCAGAATGTAAAATACATTACATTTCTTCAAAACCATTTGTTTCATTCTGTTCAATTTTGTTTCCCCCCCTCCACCCAGAGGTCAATCAAAATGCAAATATGTGCAAATACAGCAAGCAGGCTGTTGAAATATATTCAAGTTGGTATTAATCTGAGGTAAGTTTTATGTGTAAAAACATCACAGTTGTAAGAAATGCCTCTTTACAATCATTAAAATGCACGTGTTTAGAAAGCCCTGGACCCCAAATAAGCAAAGCCCCATGCTCCTTAAAATGTGGAATACCATGCAGCATTAGCACTGAAAAAAAAATTTTTTTAACAAACCAACCAACAAACAAAAAAAGCAGAACTCTTAAATACTTTTGTTTCCTCCTCAATAAAGAGCCATGGTCATCCGAACTCTGTTTTTGTTTTCCAATGTTTTATTTATTGATTTTTGCTTTTTGGGTCACACCCAGCGATGCTCAGGGGTTGCTCCTGGCTCTGCACTCAGGAATTAACACCTGGCGATGCTTGGGTGACCACCAGGGGATTGAACCTGGGTCGGCCGCATGCAAGGCAAACGCCCTACCCACTGTACTACGGCTCCGAGCCCCAGCCGAACTCCTTGAAGCTAAGTATTTGATGAGAAATAAATTACGAAAATTCCAACATAAAATAAATATCTGTAACTAGCTTCCTCCATCCCTCCCCCGGTACGGAAGGCCCCCAGGGGAGAAGGCTGGGTCTGAGAGGCAGGGGGTCACGGCCAACCAGCTCGGCCCGCACACCCCTTCCCTAAGGAGGTCCGGGGCACGTCACAGCGGCCCGTCGAACTGGAAGACACCGTACTTGCCGGTGGTCAACCAGGTGGGTTCGGAGGCCGTGAGCTGCTCGCCCTGGCCCGGCTGCAGGCCCACCTGGATCTCAGCCTTCAGGGTCCGGATGCTGCAGAGTGGGGCTGGGTGGAAGCCGTTCAGGGCCCGGTGGAAGGGGACGGTGAACTCCCACTTGCGGTCGCCCGTCAGCTTCCGGTAGTTCAGGTCGCCCTTGAACAGCACGAGCTGGGCCATCTGGAGCTCGGCGTACAGGTCCGGCGCCACCTGGGCCATGGCGCTGTACTCGTGGGGCAGGGTCCAGAAGACGTGGTCGCGGTACACCCACCGGCCCGTCTCCACGTACCTGCCCCAGTCGCCCCCACACTTGGACACCCCCTGGTGGCCCGACTGCCTGGCCTGGTCGATCAGCCACTTAAAATCACGGGCGGTGGTATCGGAGACGAACCAGGGGATCATCTTCCCGTAAAAATAGATCTCGGTAGCCAGCTTCGAGGTTAACAAGAAGTCGGCTAGGACTAAATCTGTGACCAGCTCGAACCCGGAATTATCCAGAACGAGGGCCACGCGGACGGCTGCGCTGCCCTGGGCCTGCCGGCACTTGTCGAGCAGGGACCAGAGACGCTCCATGTCGTTGACCAGGATGAACGGTTTGAGGTCCTCCAGGGAGTTGATTATATTGGTCTTCTGGGATCGACTTTCTCCGCCTGATAGAGAGAGATCACACTTATTTCCCCACAGTGAAATCTGAAAAAGAAAACAAAAATATATGTGTATTTACTCTCCTTTTGAATTATCAACGCACACACGATGTCTGCTGATATAGCACGGAAGAAGGAGCTAGACTCATAAAAATACTAGAAGTCTTGGGGACTGGAAGTCTTCTTAAAGTCTCCACTTTCTCTGCTAATGAAGAGAGCATCTTCTGTCATCTGTTTTTGTGCCAACCCATCAGTGCCCAAGGAACTAAGCGCAGTGGCAGGGAGCTACCCGGGCTCCACCCCTTGCACCGTCCGCTGAGCTGTCTAGGACCCGGGCCCAGCAGTCAATAAAAAAACGCCTGGTCACCGGGAAAAAGAACATCAGGAAACTGGCCCGGATGGCATTAGCATCCAGATAGTGTCGCTAGAATCCTAGTCTTTGCATTCTGCAGCCAACAGAATACCATCAGAGGTCAGAAAAGGGACGACCAAGTTTCTAAATGTGACAGACAGTGAACGTTTCTTTCTTCTCTCTAGGGTAGCCCCCGAGACCCTTGGCTTCCGGGTTCCCTCTCGGCCGCCCCGCGCACCTGCCAGGAGCCCTCTAATCTGAGGACATGGCAAACTACCTCGGCTTTAGCTCTCTCTCGAAAAAAAATTGGCTAAGAGGCAGGTCTAAAGGCCCTTCCAACTCTAATAAGTGAATTTCACATTTGAGGGGCAGATTCTGGGCTGGGAACCCAGCAGTAAGGGAGGCAGTGTCCACCGCTTGGTTCAGACCCCAGCAGTAAGGGAGGCAGTGTCCACCGCTCAGGTTCCGCAACGAGACTGTGAGAATCAGTGGACGTGTGTGCCGTGGCCAATACCTTGGCCGGTCAGTAGATACTGCCCCAAATACTCTTTTCCTGCTCGAGTAGAAAGGCAATACCAGCCCAAGGTATTGTTTCCTCGTTAAGGAGGGTGGTGGGTGCCCATTCTGTGCCCAGGAGACCAGGAGCAATGCCAGAGACAGGCAAGACAAGGGCCTTGACTCCTGTGCTAAGTGTCCGGCCCCCCAGAAGAAATTATTTTTAAAAGAAAACCAGATTTTACAAAAAAGTTGGAGGGTTTGGGCCGGAGAGACAGTGTAGTTGCCTTGCACACGGCAGACCCAGGCATCCATAGGGTCTCTTGAGCATCGTCAGGTGTGCCCCCCACACTCCCCCCTCAAAAAAAGTTGGAGGGGTCAGTCTGAGAGACAGTACATTGAGTACATTGAGTACATTGAGTAGGGCGTCTGCCTTGCACACAGCTGACTCGGGTTCGATTCCCAGCATCCCATATGGTCCCCCAAGCACCGCCAGGGGTTAATTCCTGAGTGCAGAGCCAGGAGTAACCCCAGCACCAGGGGTGTGATCCCCTAAAACACAAAACAAACCAAAATTGGGTAAGAGCCGGTGATGCTCAGGGGCAACTCCCAGCTGGGAGCCCAAAGGCCCCCAAGACGGGCAGGAAGCGCCCTCCCCCCCCCGCCCCCCACACCAGGGCACGCGCTCAGCACGCGGGGGTCTCTCCCTGGTGTGACATGAGTCTTTTCTCACGTGACCAAAAAGTCACGCGTCCAAGCTGGAGGAAGACACATACCCAGGGCCGAGGCAGCACCTGGGCTGCAGGCTGCTGGGACGCTCCTGGTCTCTCCCTAGCCCCCGGGGTGGGTGCATCCCAACAGCTCACGGGGAGGGAAAGACAGCAGGAGAGGGAGAGAGGGTGTGGACAGTGGGGGAGGGGGGAGGGGATCCAGCCCACCCCTGAGAGCAGGCAGAGGCGGCGGACAGGGCAGGACTGAAATGAGGTGCGGGGGGAGGAGGAGGAGGAGGACTGGGGGTTCCTTCTGAGTTCTAAGCATAAAGGGTGGGTGGCCTGGAAGGAAACAAACACCAAGACTCGGAAGACTGACACCCGGCAACTTCCCCAGGCGGGCAGCTGGCTCTGCTCGCTCCTCGGCTGTGGTCACCGCAACCACAGGTCAGCGCCCACTCAACCGGGGCGCGCAGGCCGCTCTCGGGAGTAGGGGAGTGGGCCGTGAACAGAGTCGCCTCGGCTGACACCTGAGTATGCTTTAACAGTGACTGCAGGATGTTGTCGATGTGTCAAGACTCATACACAACGAGACAACGTGTCATTCCTCTGCTCAGACCTTGAGTGCCAGATCTGGCCACTTTCACCGACACCTGAGCCCCGGCCTGAGCCTTGTCCCACCTCCCTGTCCACATTCACCCGATGGGGTCCCCAACTCAGGGCCTCAGACACACGGGCACAGACATACACACAGACAGACAGACACACACACACACAAATACAGATAACACAGACACAAACACAGACGAACACAGATGCACAGACACACACAGACGCACAGACTTGGACACACAGAGACACATACACACAGAAATAAATGCACAAACACACAGTCACACCAAGTGGGCACCCTGCCCTCAGGCCTGTCCCCCAGCAGCCCCTGCTCTGCCTGAAACATTCCCCCATCTCCTCGGAGCAGTCTTTCTCGAATATTTCTCATGACTCTGGAAAAAATGGGGGCTTAGAGATAGTTACCCGCCCCCCCATTTTTTTTTTTTTCATTTTGGTCATGTCACCCAGTGATGCTCAGGGCTTACTCCTGGCTCTGCACCAGGATCGCTCCTTGTGGTGCTCAGGGGACCACACGGGATGCCAGGGATTGAACCCAGGTAGGTTGTGTGCGAGGCAAGCACCTCACCCCCCCGCCCCAATCTGACTAGTTGGTTTTGTTTCTGTTCAGTGGGGGCACACGCAGCAGCGCTTGGGGCTCACTGGTCACTCCTGGTGGGCTCTGAGGCCCATCCGAGATGCCAGGGATGACACCCAGGTCAGTCGTGTGCTATACCGTCACTCCAGGCCCTGATGACCTTTAAAGGCTGGGATGCAGTGAAACCTCGGGGCGGTACGGGGCAGATACAAAAACGGGCCAGGATGCCCTGACGAGAACTGCAGCCAGCTCGACCACACCCAGCTCGACCTTCTGCGAAGCCCATCGGCTAGAGGCTCACAGAACCTGACGCGGTGCACAGGCCCTTCTCACCCGAGTCAGACATGGGGCGGAGCTCAAGAAACTCCCTCAGAAGCACAAGGAAGCGGCAGACCCGTGTCCCCTCCCCTCCCCACCCTCCTCAGGACAGGCTGACTGGCGCATATCACTGCTCACCGTCCCGTGACAGCAGAGGCCCTCGCTACCCATAATGGCCCACAGAGACGCTACCCATAATGGCCCACAGAGACGGCGTGTCTACCTGGAGGAACTTGAAGAACTCGGCCTTGAGCCGCTCGCCGTGGAGGGCGTCGGGCGTGCCCAGCGTCTCCTGCAGGCAGGCGCACAGGCTGCGGATGGACTCCAGCGACTCGAAGAAACTCTGCTCCTTCGATTCTCGAAACACATCGAAGGTGTCGATCGGCGGGCTGGAAAATCAAGAAAAGCACCAGGAAGACATTGGGGTGCCTCCGTACCACTGTGCGGTGTGGGTGCCGGGGGGTAGACTCATGCCAGGCGGGTGCCCCATCACAGCCCCAGGGACCCAGCCCTAAGTCAGCGTGAAGGCACCTGTCACCCTCTGGGGTTTGAGGGACAGCACGGGGTGAAGGCTGGCCTGACTTGTGGCGGACCCGGGTCCATCTCCAGCACACACGGTCCCCGAGCACGGCCTGTCTGTCTGCCTGTCTGTGTGTCCGTGTCTACGTCAGAGCACAGGCCAGGAGATGTCCCTGAACACTCTAGGTGTGCCCCCCAACCTCAAAATAAAATTTTGGAAGTGGAAAAGATGTAACTATACCAGCATTTACACGGGCTGGAGCAATAGTACAGCGGGTAGCATTTGCCTTGCATGCGGCCAACCTGGCCGACCTGGGTTCGATTCCTCCACCCCTCTCAGAGAGCCCGGCAAGCTACTGAGAGTATCTCGCCCACACAGCAAAGCCTGGCAAGCTCCCCGTGACGTACAGAGCCTGGAGTAACCCCTGTGCACTGCTGGGTGTGACCCAAAAAGCAAAACAAGCAAACAAACAAAAACAAAACACACCCAGAAATGTCAACTCCCTTGACAAGAAATCATAAAATGTCGGGACTGGATTGGTGAGGGCCCCCAGTGTGTGGTGATGTGATGAAAAATAGAAAACAAACTATCTAATGACGCCTTCTCGGCAGGTCTGAATGTTGGGGGGGGGGGGGGAATTCCAAATAATAATAGTGGGTCTTCTGTCAAAAAATTGAATGCAATCAAAGTAGAGAGTCAAGTGGAAATCATCTGTCACACAGGCAGGGGGTGGGTGGGAGGGTGGTATACTGGGGTTCTTGGTGGTGGAAAATGGGAACTGGTGAAGGGACGGGTGTTTGATTATTGTGTGACAGAGACTTAAACCTGAAAGTTTTGTAACTGCTCTCACGGTGATTCAATTAAAAAAAAAAAAAAACACAAAAAAAAACATGGACATCACCAAAGAACTCTGCCTCCCCCCATGACACTGCACTGCCCACGCTAGCTGAGGATGCCATCAAAGCCACCAAGGCTGATTACAAGCGGAAACAAGAACCCAAGAAAGGAGAGGTGGAAAAGAAATGAGCCCCGGAGCCAGCCCCCGCCAGCCCACTAGTCCAGAGGAGCTCTGAGACTCGCCCAGCACTCACTGCCCCACTGTGCCTCGGGCCATCCCACAAGGTGTCCCCACACTGAGTCCTGTGCTTCAGTCCCGCCCACCCTCCTCACGGTCCTGCAGCCCACATGTATTCCTGTGTGTGTCTGGCCACAGAACTGAAACCAGCATCAAGTCCCCAGCTTTGACAGTTCACAAAGTGCACGTGACCCTCCTCCTCCCTGAATCTAGTCAGAGGGAGATGACCCACCTGACACCTTGGTGTGGAGATATGATAGAACCAGTTATTGAACACTAAAGCAGACCTGCACACATATATTAATAGAACAATGTTAGCACTGCACTGTCCTCCCGTTGTTCATCGATTTGCTCGAGCGGGCCCAGTAACGTCTCCATCGTGAGACTTGTTACTGTGCTTGGCATATCGAATACGTCACAGGGAGCTTGCCAGGCTTTGCCGTGCGGGTGAGAAACTCTCAGTAGCTTGCCGGGCTCTCTGAGAGGGGTGGAGGAATCGAACCCAGGTTGCCCAGGTCGGCTGCATACAAGGCAAACGCCCTACCCGCTGTGCTATCGCTCCAGTGATAGAAGAATGTAAGACAAAGAAAAAACAAAAAAGGAAAGGAAAAAAAATTAAGCCGGAGCATTCAAATATCCAAGAGTGAATAGGGAGATGGGATTCTGGGATGATGCCCACACATGGCCACCGCCTACTTAAGCTCACACATGGCATTATATTCTATCCATCTCAAGCGATACAAAACACACTATCCAGCATTGCCTTCTCGGCAGGTATAAGTGGTGGTAGGACTGGGCTCAAATACTGAAGGTAACCAAAGTAGAGAGAGTAGTGTGGAAACTGTCTGCCACACAGGCAGGGGGAAGTAAGGAACCTCCCCCTGGGGGGAGGATACTGGGGACTTTGGTGGTGGAAAACGTGCACTGGTGAAGGAATGAGCGTTTGATGATTGTATGACCAAAGCTCAAACATGAAAGGTCTGTTACTGCACCTCATGGTGAATCAATAAAAAAAAGGGAGGAGGGGGGGAAGAGTGAACAGGGAAAAGAGATTGGAATTTAGTCACATAACCGAAGTATCACCAACGGAAAGGACAACATGGGTGACAGTGAAGGCCGACAGCCCGGTCCCAAGACAGACAGAACCACGGCCCCATCACTTTCTTTTGGTGAGGCACTGAGCCCCAGGTGCTACAGGGTCAGCAAGACGGCTCAGGGCGGGGTGAGAGAGCAGGCTCCGAGCCAGCCAACCCCTGTGCTCCCCAGAGAGCCTTTGGTGTGGCTCAGTAAAGGGCTGGGCTGGCATGCATGACGCCTGGGGTCTAGCACCTTGGAAAAACCGAGTGAACAACAGAGGCACTCTACCGACTCCCAGAATGCCCTTGCTTTGTTCTATCTTGCCTTTTAAAAAGATTTCCAATGAGCATTTTTTGTTTGTTTTGTTCAGCAAGTGCAATTTGTTTTATTCTAGAAGGAAAGGGTTTTAAAAGGATCAGCTCCTGGAGCGATAGTACAGCGGGTAGGGTGTTTGCCTTGCATGCGGCCGATCGGGGTTCGATTCCTCCGTCCCTCCCGGAGAACCCAGCAAGCTACAGAGTATCCCGCCCGTACAGCAGGGCCTGGCAAGCTCCCCGTGGCGTATTCCATATGCCAAACACAGTAACAACAAGTCTCACGATGGAGACGTTCCTGGTGCCCGCTCGAGCAAATCGATGAACAACGGGAGGACAGTGCTCCAGAGCGCCAGTGCAGCTCCTCCCCTGGAGACTAGGTAAGTGGTTCCTATTGGGAGGAATCGCTACCGACCCAGCTTGTGTACAACTATATCCGCTGGGCCGAATTCGGTTCCACCATTTATTATTTTAATTTCAACAGGGTGGGGGGTGGTCTTCCCAGCTACTCTCTGCCAGCAGGGTCAGTGGTTCAATGTGAGGGCCAGGGGAGATGCTTGGGGGTGTCCACGTTGTACCCGGTGATGTTGAGGGGGTCCATGTGGTACAGGGACCCAACTGGGTCTCAGCCATACGCAGGGATGCACTTCGATCTCCGCACTAGCCTTTCCGGTTCTGCTTTCCGGTATGACGAGTATTTCACGGCCTCCCTAAACCCACAGGAGACTCGATGATGCCATGCTCACCTCTGGATAATGGCCTCGTGGATCCTCCGGTACATGTAGCACTCCACAAACAGCCACGGAGAATAGAACCACCGTGGTTTCTCATCGCTGTCATGGAGCAGATGCCCTTGGTGCTCTAGATACTGGTTCCATATATCGGTATCCACAAACTTTTCAACCAAAGGAATGATGGGCTTGTCCGTCTGCAATTCGTTTCGTAATTTAGAAAGGAGGGAAATGGCTTTCTTTTCAGCTTCCATGCCTTCCTGCAGAAATACAGGAAAAAAACAGGCACGTAAGTAACTACAGTGATTTCTAATTCTATGGAAACATATATACGAGGACTAATGGCCTTGGCAGGGTCAGGTTCCCTGGGCAGTCAGGAGTGAGGTGTGAGCACCGCTCTGTCCCTGCTCCCAAACAAGGGTACAAGTATTTCCTCTAGAATCACGTTTTGATGAACCTAAACCTATGGCAAAATTACATTTCAGAGGGCTGGAACGATAGCACAGCGGGTAGGGCATTTGCCTTGCATGTGGCCAACCTGGCTGAGCTGGGTTCGATTCCTCCACCCGTCTCGGAGAGCCCGGCAAGCTACCTGTGACGTATTCAATATGCTAAAGGTAAAGGTAAAGGCCCTCCCGTTGATCATCGATTTGCTCGAGCGGGCCCAGTAACGTCTCCATTGGAGACTTTGTTGTTACTGTGTCTGGCATATCGAATACTCTCGGTAGCTTGCCGGGCTCTCCGAGAGGGGCGGAGGAATCAAACTCGGGTCGGCCATGTTGGCTGCGTGCAAGGCAAACGCCCTACCGCTGTGCTATGCTAAATACAGTTAATAACAAGTCTCAAAATGGAGACATTACTGGGCCCGCTCGAGCAAATCGATGAACAATGGGAGGACCGTGACAGTGACAGTGACATTTCAGAACATTTTTTTGTCTCTTCAGAGGCTATTACATTCTGGAGGTTTGTGTCTGAGCCACAAGTGCTCCGGAATACCCCTCGCAGTATTTGGGGACCATCTATGGCACAGTCTGAACCTGGAGCTTCCCCCGTCTGTTGAGCCTCTCCCCAGCCCCCTTAACAACGTTCTTGTTTTCAGACTACAGTCGTAAGTACTCGGGGCCTATTCCTGGCTCTGTGCTCAGAGATCACTCCTGGTGGGGCTCAGATCCCTGGAATCAAACCCAGGCTGGTGGCAAGGTCCCCATGCCACTGTATCTCTGCCCCCAAATTAAAACTTCCTTGGGGGGTGGTATAGGGACTGTCAGCAATGCTTAAGGTTTACTCCTGGTTCACTTACTCCTGGGGAACTATACAGGAAGCCAGGATCAAACCTGGGTCAGCACATACGAGGCATACCCGCTATACTATCTCTTCAGGGCCTAAATAAACATTCTTAAGGGGTCAGAGAGACAGGACAGCGAGGAGGGCGCTGGCCTTGTACATGGCTGACTGGGGCTCAATTTCCAGCACACCACAAGGTCCCCCAAGTCTGCCCAGAGATCCCTGAATACAGAGCTTCTTCCCTGAATTAGCACTAAGCAAGGCCTAAGGTGGGCCTTAAAACAAAACAAATTCTTCTTTTTTTTTTTTTGCTTTTTGGGTCACACCTGGCGATCCTCAGGTTACTCCTAGCTCTGCACTCAGGAATCACTCCTGGTAGTGCTTGGGGGACCATATGGGATGCTGGGAATCGAACTGGGTCGTCGATCACGTGCAAGGCAAATGCCCTACCCGGTGTGTTATTGCTCCAGCCGCGAAACAAATTCTTAAGTTTTAAAAATCAAACCACAAAGTCCAACTCTTTCATTAACACTATCCCACCTTCCATACTGTAAGACAGTGAGACAGAGAGAGGCGGAGGGAAGGGTGTGTTGACTGAACTAGAAACCCACCCCACCCGAATCCTGTGACCTCCCAGCCCAGGGGCCTGGCCGGCATTCTGCCACTGGGACTGAGTCCTTAGTGCCTTTGGTGGTGGCTGTTTTGGGTCCACGCCCAGCTGTGCTCAGGGTTTCCTCCTGCCTGAACACAGGAGGGTGGAGGACCATCTGTGGTGCTGGGGATAGAACCCAGGCCTGCTGGCAAGGCAAGACCCTTGTCTCCCCACCCATTTTTAAAAATACATTTATTTATTTAGTTATTAGTGAGGCACCATGAGGTACAGTTGTAGACTTACAAATTTTTGTGCCTGGGTTTCAGTTATACAATGATCAAACACCCATCCCTCCATCAGCGCCCATCCTCCACCACCACAGGTCCCAGCATCCCTCCCACCCCCCATCCCCTCCATCCCACCCTGCCTCTGTGGCAGGGCATTCCCTTTTGTTCTCTCTCTCCTATTGGGTGTTGTGGTTTGCAAAAGAGGCAATGGGTGACAATCATGTTTGGTTTATAGTCTACTTTCAGCATGCCTCTCCCACCCAACACCCTTTTTTTGGTGCTCTCTTCTCTATCTAAGCTTCCTTTTCCCCTAGCACGTGTTTTATGTCATAGGAGCTAAAATTCTTTCTCTACGGGTTGAACATGACCACATGCAGAGAAAAGCAATGGGGTGCTTCTGTTAAAGCGTTCACAAGTTTTAAAGTTAAAAACACAAGTCTTACCTCTCCATGCTTCTCAAAAAATTCACTTTTGTGTCTATGCAAGGAATCAATAGCCTTGGTTAAGATCTGTGGTATTCTGTCTTTAATTGTCAAGTAGGCGAAGGATCTGGAAAGAGAGTCACACCGTGCAGTTAGATTAGTGGCATGAACGCAGGAAGACCAGCGTTGCTCCGCTCAGGACCGCCCTGCTCCATAGAAAAGCCCCTTTGGTTCAGCCACTGCTGAGATGAGTCAGCACCATCGGGCCACTGATCAGAGAAACCTGGACAGGCAGCCTGGGGCCTCTAACAACACGGTCCAGTAATTCTTCTTTTGTGGGGGGGCTTTTGGGATCACAACCAGCAATGCACCGGGGTTACTCCTGGTTCTGCACTCAGGAATTACTCCTGGAGCTGCTCGGGGGACCATACGGGATGCTGAGGATCGAACCCAGGTCGGCTGCTTGAAAGGCAAATGCTCTACCCACCGTACTATCGCTCGGGGCCCACCGATAATTATTCTTATTGTTCCCACTCTAAGTAATTATTCTTATGGTTCCCATTCTATTCCTTTAATCTATTTCTTTAGACTAAAGGAAACCAGTTTAACCAGACAGAAAAAGATCAGCCCAGCAGACAGGCTGTCCTCCTCTCCCCCTCTTGGGAAGGTGAGTAAATGAAGATAAAACTGCATGGCAAGCTAGTGAGCTGAAAAACAGAAACACTAATCTGACTTCACCAATGAGACGCCTCTCATTCCTGTCCATACCCTTAGCCAAATGTCAATCTTGGCCAAGACTTCCTTTGGAGGGGGAGGGGCCACACCCGGCTGGTGCCCAGGGCTTTCTCCTTGGCAGAGCTCCAGGACCACCCCAAGTGAAGGGCTACTGAAATCCAGGTGCTTGGGGTCCCTGCTGAGACAGCCTCCCCTACCCCAGAACAAGCCCGGGAATAGCCGAGTGTGGCCCAAGAGGAAAGAAAGAAGTTAAAGATGCAACACACACAAGTCAAGATTTACAGATCAGAATTTTACATAAGATTTTTTTTTTTTTTTTTGGTGGGGAGAGGAGGCTTCTAAAGTGTTCAAGGTGGTCGGGGAGCCTCTCCCGGTGAAACTGGGCTCCACTGCCTCGGGCTTCAATGCTGGGCAGGGCCAGGGTTCCCCCAGACATGCTGGGGGGGGGGGGGTTTGAGGCACCGAGAATCTAACTCGAGGTCCCCTGCAAACCAGGCCTGTGTTCCAGCCCTTTGAGGCACCTCCTTTCTGATGGACACACCTATGATTGGGGGGGGGATGAGGGGGTCCGTTTGTTTGATGAAATTCTGTAGGTTTTAAATAGCAAAATGGACTAGCTCGTTTACACCCTCCCTCAAGTCACCGGGAGATGTGGAAAAGCAAGCCAACTTATGCAATAACTTAAAGCAGTAACTTAAAGTTACCAAACCCGTCCCCGGGCCACCAGTCTGCCAAGGAAGGCTTTGCGTTTTGCCCTACTTTGGAGACCTCTCCGAGCTCAGAAATCCGGCCGTTGGATTTTAACTCTTGGGTTCGGTTTTGTTGTGAAGGGTGGGGGGGGGAGGTCTACAACTTTCCCAACAACCTACCCTGCCAACGCCTAAATGGGGAAAGGTGGGCAAAAACCTGGAAGAGGTTTTCCTTTTTCTTTTTTTATTTCCCGTTTTTAGGCCACAACCTGCGGCTGGGGTGGGGTGGGGTGAGGTGACTCTTGGCTCTGCGCCAAGGGATCACTCCTGGAGGGGCTCGGGGGACCAGGTGGGATGCAGGGTCGATCCTGCGCAAGGCAAATGCCCTCCCAGGTGCAAAACCCGGAGTTCTCCCTTGTCCTTGGTGGGATGGCCAACCGAGGCGATCTGCGCCCGATCTGCGGCCGACACGCGGCTCAACTCGCCTCCCCGCGCCCGCCCCCCGCAGCCCTAACTTGCCCCGAATCGAACTTTCCCTGAAAGGACAGGGGCGCCCCGGACCCGAGAGGGAACCTGAGTTCAATATCCCGAGAGCAGCACGGGGAGCGGCCGGGAGCTCCGCGCTGAGGCCAACGGGCGCGTCCCGCCCGCCCGGGAAGGTGCAGCCGGAGCCCCGCAGCCCGGGCCCGACCCCGCCCGACCCCGGCAGCCGGTGGAGGAGCCCCGCAGCCTCAGCACTCAGCCTGCAGCCCGCGCCTCGCAGCCGTGTCCGGGCCCCCGAACCCGCACCCCTCAGCCCGTTATCCCAACCCCGCAACCGTGTCCGAGCCCAGCAGCCACGTTCGAGCCCCGCAGCCACGTTCGAGCCCCGCAGCCGCGTCCAAGCCCCGCAGCCCGAGCCCACCGTGAGCTCCGCAGCCAGAGACCATGTCCAAACCCCACAGCCGCGTTCGAACCCCGCAGTCCGAGCCCCGCAGCCGCGCCCGAGCTGCGCAGCCCGCACCCGAGCCCCGCAACCGCTTCCGAACCCCGCAGCCCGATCCCGTCGTGAGCCTCGCAGCCGCGTCCGAGCCCCGCAGCCCGAGCCCCGCAACCGGGTTTGAGCCCCGCAGGCGCTTCCGAACCCCGCAGCCCCACCCCGTCGTGAGCCTCGCAGCTGCGTTCGAGCCCAGCAGCCCGAGCCCCGCAGCCCGCGTCCGAGCCCCGCAGCCCGAGCCCCGCAGCCCGCGTCCGAGCCCCGCAGCCCGAGCCCCGCAGCCCGCGTCCGAGCCCAGCAGCCCGAGCCCCGCAGCCCGCGTCCGAGCCCCGCAGCCCGAGCCCCGCAGCCCGCGTCCGAGCCCCGCAGCCCGAGTCCGCCGTGCGCGCCGCGGCCCGGGTCACGGCTCAATGGTGGCGGCGCCGAGCCCGGGCGAGCCTGGCGGGACCCGACTCGGGGGCGGCCGCTGCCCGGGCGGGGGGACCGAGAGCACCGGACCCGGCCGCCTTCGGTCTCCGCGGACCAGCCCGCGGGCGACGTCCCCTGCAGGCTCTCGGCGAGGCCCGCGGGAAGCCGGGGCCGGAGCCCGCGGGGGACGCGCACAGCGCCACGCACCCGACGTCCTGGCCCGAGAGCGACTCCGGAGTGACCGCCATGGCCCCGCGCCCAGCCGGCGCCAACGCTCTGGCCGCACCAGCCGCTCAGGGCTGGAGGCAGGGGGGAGGGGGCGGAGCGCGGGCGGCAAAAAAAAAAAAAGTTTGAACACGCGAACTTTATTAGGGGCCCACCCCCGGAGACAAGCAACAATGGCCGGCTGGAGGACGCCGAGATCTTCCGGGGACAAAGGTGGGGGCCGCGGCGGGCGCCGAGAGGCGGAATCAGGAAGCCGACGCAAGGCGGAAGCCAAGCTGGGACCGGGAGGTTCCCCCCGACCTCCTGGGAGCGGAAAAGGTCCCGGCGGCGCGGGTCACGTGCTCGGGCCGTCACGTGCGCAGGGGCGGCCGCGCGCTCCCCGGGCGGCCGGACGGGTCTGCGGCTGCGCGGTGCGGCGCACGGGGGGCGGGGCTAGTTTGGGGGCGTGGCCCCAAGGGAGGCCCCGCCTCCTCCTCCTGCTCCTCGGCGCTGCGGCGGCGGCGTCGCAGTTCCCGGGCGGGCGCTGAGAGTTGCGCCCTTGACCGAGCCCTTTCCCTCTTCTGGCTGAGAGGTTAGTGTCCAGCCTTTGCCGAGGGGCTTGTGCGCTTCGCCGCGGCCTCCGGGCGCCTTGTGGCGTGCCAGTTCCTCCCCGCTCCCGCTGTGGCCTCACCTTGCCACTTGCACGACCCACTGTTGCACGGCCACTTGCACCGGACCGGTGGTGGCTCAGCCCCAGAGTCCAAAGCCCTGCATGCCCGGACACAAAACCCGCGTCTCTGAGCATTAATGCCTAGGGGGTGAGGAACTGCAAAGATAAAAGGATGACGAAGACCCAGGGGCTCATAGGGGGAGGGCAGGTGCGGCGAGCTGAGCGCTACCCAGGAGCGTTTCCTGCGTTGGTATTAACGTGGGGCTCCCCCCACCCCCACCCCCTAGCTCGGGGGTTTCAGCCCCCTCCGCGTCCAGCCAGGTCTGAAAAGTTCCAGACAGGAAGGTATTTTTGAGAGAGCTCGAGTTCACGTCACGGTGATGGCCCCATTCTTCTGTTCGCTGTGCATTTCTTAACCAGGCCCGGTTAGTGAGTTGATACATACATACATGATAAATACATGTATGTATGGGGGTGGGACACTGTAGGATTGGGAGTTTCCAGCGTTTCAGAAGTTATGGGCCTGTAGCAGGTAGGGGTCTTGCCATGGAGAGCCCTGGCATAAGATTATGCTGTTCTCATGTTCTTGAACATAGAAAAAGTGCCCCCAGATCTGAGTAAGCCGTCTGGTATTTCCTCTTAAAGAAAGGTGTGTTGACCACCCACTGCGTGCTAGGTGTGGCATTCACAGATGACACAGTGGGACAAAGATCCCGTCTGTGCTGCGCAAGTTCATGGGTGCTCATAGTCCGCGGGAGAGAGATCCTGCCCCCTGCTCTCCTGTTTCCTCCATGCTGGTATTCTTCCCGTTTAAATGGACAGTTGACTGATTTAGCTTTATTAGTGTCCATTAACCCCTCAATGGGATGCGAGAGTCAAGAAATTGAGACATTTGGTTTTTCACTTGTATCTGCACGGAGAGCCACTGTCAGGCACAAGGGAGGAACTCGGATGTTACTTGTGGGGGTTTTTTGTTTGCTTGCTTGATTTGTTTTAGGGTCTGAATGCCCAGGGGTTACTCGTGGTTCTTCACTCAGGAATCACTCCTGACAGTGCTCAGGGAACCGTATGGGATGCCAGGGATCAAACCCGGGTCAGCCCTTGTAAGACAAGCATGTACTATCTCTCCTGGTATTTGATGTAGGAATTGATAAGTTAAGAACACAAGGTGGGGCCAGCGAAATCTTACTGGGGTAGGGGTGGGTAAGGAATTTCTCTTGTATACTGTTGGCCCCAGTTTGATCCCTGTGTATGGTCCCCCAGCACCTCCAGAAGTGATCCCTGCGAACTGTTGGGCATGACCCAAAGAACAGAACAAAAGTACAGTGGCATGAACGTGATGTGCAATGCAGTGCAGGAATGAAGAAGGAAGGAGAAGGGGTGCTGGTTCTGTTTTAAATGCAGTTGTTGTGATTTACAAGAGAAGGAGATATTTGTATACAGGTGGTCTGCAGGAGGTCAGGGTATAAGGCTCACAGATCCCGGGGAGAGAGCACAAGGAATCTTAGCGCAGAGATCCAGGGGCCAGAGTGTCTGAAGCAAAAAGAACAAGGGAAAGATCTGGACCTCCACTGGGTGCTTCCTAGCCTTGCTTCTTAAACTATGGGTCATAAACACGTTTGGCAGCAGTGAAAGCTTTCTCGATGAGTTTAGCAACCAAAAAGTAATTCAGAATCCACGGTGTCATGAACCCTGGGTGGGAGAAAAGCGGCCGAAAACGGGCAGAGTTTCTAAGAAGCCTTGATGTGGCGGGCAGAGCTGGTGGGGCTTTGGAGGCTACTCAAGGCCTTTGGCTTTTTGTTTAAGGGAAATGCAGGATCAAGGCCAAATTTTGTTGGGAAGAAAGAGGAACCAAGCCCCAGACAGAAGGTACGGCCCCTGAGGTCAGAACCCAGGGCCGGGGCACATCCTGGACACCAAGAGAAAAAGATTCCAGCAGAGTCGCCGGGTCCCCCAGCCTCAGATGTGGCTGATGAAGGAGGGAACAAGAAGGCTCAAAAGTCATTGGTGGTGGGGCTGGAGCAATAGCACAATGGGTAGGGTGTTTGCCTTGCGCGCGGCCGACCCAGGTTCGATTCCCAGCATCCCATATGGTCCCCCGAGCAATGCCAGGAGTGATTCCTGAGTGCATGAACCAGGAGTAACCCCTGTGCATCAGCGGGTGTGACCCAAAAAGAAAAAAAAAGTGATTGGTGGTTAAGGGCCAGGAGGATCGCTCCAAAGCTTGGAAGCCGGCCTCACATGCTGGAGGAAAAGGCAGCTGAGGTAGAGAAAGGAACACCAAGTCAATGATGCTTGTAGGGCTCACTCGGGATGCGAGATGCATGCTGAAAGTAGACTATGGACTGAACATGATGGCCGCTTAGTACCCATATTGAAAACCATAACACCCAAAAAGAGTAAGAAAGAGTAAGAGGGAATGTGCCTACCACGGGGAGGGTTGGGGGGGATACTGGGGACATTGGTAGTAGAGAAATGGGCACTGGTGGAGGGATGAGTACTCGATCATTGTATGGCTGAAACATAGTCATAAAAGTTTGTAAATCTGTAACTATCTCACAGTGATTTGTTTAAAAAAAGTGATTGGTGGTTGAGTTTAGGGATCTAGAGGCCACCGTGGGTTTTGGTGAATTGGTGAGTGAAAACCCGAGTGAGACGGTTGGAAGGGGCAAAGGAGTGGAGAGCGTCGGTCAGTTCCGGTTCTTTTCTTGTGGCCTGTCACTGGCGAGCGACTGTATGGGAGGGAAGCGAGAGCAGAGGTGACCGGAGGGTGGCCCTGAAGAAGGGAACTGAGTGGCAGGATGGCAGGATGGGAGAAGGGTTTGGGCTCCTCCTAAACCCTCAGGAAGATGAGCTTTGATTCGCAGAGGGAGGACCAGAACCAGGGCCAGACTGAATCACTGGGAGCGGGACCACCCTGTGGGCAGGTGGCCCTAGTGGGCGGGTTTCCTTCAGTTGTGTCTGTCTTGTCACCCACTGAGTTAGCAAGATCTTAGGAGGAGGCTGAGGGGGAGAGAACTGGGCCTGGAATGTGATCCTTGAGATTTGGAACAAAGCCCCGCTCCAGATCGGGCAGGATGTGAAAGTGAAACCAGGTGCCGGGCCGACCACTTCTCTCCAGCCACGTTTAGTTACCAGAGTACAGGTGCAAATGAGGTGAATTCTGGGGCCTGAGTTAGAACCCAGTAGTGTCGCCCAAGCCCCACCAGGAGTGATCCCTGAGCACAATCCTGTAAGTAATCCCTGAGCATGGTTCGGTATGGCCCAAACACCAAAACTTCTTTATTTGGTTGGGGTTTTTTTCCTGCTTTTTGGGTCACACCCGGCCATGCTCAGGGCTTACTCCTGGTTCTGCACTCAGGAATTACTCCTGGTGGTGCTTGGGGGACCATATGGGATGCCGGGGATTGAACCCAGGTCAGCTGCATGCAAGGCAGATGCCCTCCCTGCTGTACTATCACTCTGGCCCCCAACATATTTTCTGTAAAAAAGCAAATGGGGAGCTGGAGAGTAAGCCCTAGGCATTGCCAGGTATGACCCAAAACCCAAAACATTTCTCTTTAAAAAAGCAAATGAGGGGCTAGAGCAATAAGCACAGTGGGTAGGGCATTTGCCTTACACACGGCCAACCCGGGTTCGATTCCCAGCATCCCATAGAGTCCCCCGAGCACCGCCAGGAGTGATTCCTGAGTGCAGAGCCAGGAGTAACCCCTGTGCATTGCCGGGTGTGACCCAAAAAGCAAAAATAAGTAAATAAATAAATAAAATAAAATAAAAAAAGCAAGTGAGTGCCCAGAGAGAGAGAGAGAGAAAGCAAATAGGGCCTTTGCCTTTCACACAACCAGTCCAGATTCCATCCCTGTCATCTCCTAGACCCCCCCTCCCCAAACACCCACCCCAGCATGGCCAGGACTGACTCCTGAGTACAGTGGCCGGAGTAAACCCTGAGCACTGCTGGGTGTGGCCCAGAAACCAAAACTAAAATTAAATTTGAAAAGCGAAGGAGGCTAATTTTGTGCAATTCTTATTGAGGTTATGCCAGGTGTGTGTGGTGGGGGGTAGAGTGGAATCCTGAGACAGAGACCCGGAAGGCAGACCGGGACCGGGAGCGAGGTGTGGACTTGGTGAAGGGGAGTGAGGGACCGCGCAGAGGTGACCGCGTCATTGACTGTCGGCCCCATCAGGGCTGAGGGCTGGTAGAATATTGGGTTCTGGGAGTGAAGGCGGGGGTCCCGATGGTGTTGGGGACAGGGGTGCTGGGAGGAGAATGAGCTGCAGCCGCAGTGGCTGGAGGTCTAGAGCAAAGCCACTCGGGTGCACCTTTAAAGAGCTCAGTAGGGCTGGATAGTACCTCCCCCGGTAGGACAGGGGGGAGGGCGTTTGCCTTGCACGTGGCCGACCCGGGTTCGATCCCCGGCATCCCATATGCTCCCCCGAGCACCCCCA